GGCTTTGCAGTCTGGTGCATTAACCCACAGTACCACATCAGGACTCCAAACAAATACTGAAAGTAGATGTGTTATTTTGTACTGAAATTAATTCAACAATGTCTACTTGAAATTACAGCACTGGACAATAAAAGCAGATTTATATTTAAAGAAAGAAACATTTAGAAAACACCACCAACAAAGCTTACTGAGAAGTAAAACAATGACACCAGAAGCATACTCTTATTAGGAAAATTGGAAGATAAATCAAGAAATCCACCCGGGATGTAAGATCAGATAAAATGATGAGAAATGCAAGAGACAAGTCCATGAGGTCTAATATTCTAAACAGTACAATTCCAGTAAAGGGCATCAAAACTTTGATGGTGGGTGGAGAAAGTAACGAAATGGTATTTATTCTCCTCACTTCTCAAATTTTTTATACCTTTCTCTTTAAAAGTAACCTCAGATATGCACGTCTCAAGATTTCCATGACCCCAGTGGCTGTTTATCCATATAGGTCTTACCTCTCCCCGCTTCGCTGTCTGACACCGCAGTTGTATTCTTAGTTTTCGCTGTTCCAGTTTCAACTCCACCACTCAGCTCCAACTCTTGCTTTTCTTGAGGATCTTTTCAAGGATCAAAAACAAAGTGGAAAAAAAAAAAAAAAATATATATATATATATATATATATATATATATATTCTTTTCCTTAGCCTTCTTTTAAATTCTAACTATCCTGGTAGCCCTTAACTTGGTCCTGATTCTGATGACGAATTTCTTTTTTGCATACAAACACTTTTTTTCTTAAGTAGTGTCCAAACTATCTTCCAAGATGAGTACAAAGGAATACATTTTTTATAAGAAAAAAATATATTGGAAGATATGTGACAGAGCATAAATTGTATATCCCATTATAGACACCCTATATCAGTTGTCTTTTACATTAAAGAACTTGTTAGGATGTGGTACCTTTCTCTTAACACATACAAAGCTCTCATCCAAGATAAAACTCACTTGGAGGATCAACTTTCTAAATTAGTATTCACTAAAGTTCTACCTGAAATAATGTAATCAAAGATTTGTTCATATAAATTGTTTTCTCTTCATTTGATATTTATAATTATATATATATATATATATATAGAGAGAGAGAGAGAGAGAGAGAGAAGAGAGAGCTGAGTCAATTTGATTCATAGTAACTCTATATATGGTTTCTGAGACTGCAAATCTTTGTGGGAGCAGATAGACACATCTCCCTCCACCTGAGCAGCTGGTGGCTTTGAACCGTCCACCTTGCAATTATCAGTCCAACACTTATCGCACAGCACCACAAGGACTTTTTCATACACATTGTTGTTCTTGTTAAGTGCTGTTGAGTTGGTTCTGACCTCTAGTGACCCTGAATAGGGTTTCTGAGGAGAGGCTGGTGAGCCTGAACTGCCAACCTTGTAACTCAAATCGACTGCAGTCCAGCCCATTATCCCACCGTACCACACACGGACTCTTCTTCACATACATAGAAGATATACTTTTTTATCCAGATGAAAATGGATATAAAAGTAATAACAATCTGTAAAATAAATATTAAAGTGACAAAATATTGTAAATAATTCATAAACAACAAAAACAAAAATAATGTACAAGGAACCATGTATTCCACATTAGTAAATAAATGTGATTCTGATTAAAAAAATAAATCAATCTTCCTAATGAATCATGATTATCGCTAATAGTCTAGGAGTTAGACTTTATGAACTAAACCCAAATTAAACCCACCACCACTGAGTCAGTTCTGAGTCTTCAGGACCCTATATAGGGTTTCTGAGACTGTAAACCAGACAGCCTCATCTTTCTCTCACAGAGACTGGTGGGTTGGAATGGCTGACCTTACTGTTACTAACCGAAAACTTTATAAAACAGACTGGAATTATATGATATAGAGACAAGAAACCTTTGATCTTATCTCATGTCATAAAGAAGCAACTATTTCATCATTAATTACTAGAGTCCTATTAGTGTTTTTATTGTTGTTAAGTGCTGTCTAATCTGTTCTGACTCATAGCGTCCCCTGTATAGGGTTTCCAAGGAGTGGCTGATGAATTTGAACCACTGACCTTGTAGTTCAAAATAACCTAGCAGTCTAGTGCTTATTGTATAGCACCACATAAGATTCCTATGGTCCCATGAAAATCATGAAATATATCTATTTTACAATTTTTACAGATAAATAAAAATTCTGAATAATTACAGTCATCCTCTTATTGTCATCCCTTCTTCTAATAGCCAGCATTTAAGCCATCCTGAAACCTCTATAAAAATATGAGAAACATTAGATTGATGATACCAAAAATTTAGATTTCCAGAGGACAAGATCACAGTCTTACTGCACACACTTTGATTATCTTGCAAACCAAATAAAATAGGCAAAGCTAAATTCCGGCATAGTGATTTACTTCACAAATCCAGAGAAGAAAGAACGTAAGTGAGGTTTCTTGATAAAAGTGAACAGAGCTAGAGTGCCTTCAGACACTGCTAGTCCACCAATATCTGGAATTGCTAATACAAGCACATATCTCAGGTGAGTCGTATACCCACCGATACCGTTCTTTCCTCTGGAGTTCTCTAAGTCTGCATTGAACATCTTACCTGTTCTCTTTAGATTGCAGCGCTCCTGAGATGTATTCTTAGATGAATTTGGAAATTTGAGAGTAGCGTAAGTCACTTCTTCAGGCATTATCAAACAAGAAAAGCGCCACTCAAGTACCTGGTTATTGTGAATATCACACTGAATCTCACAGAAGTGGCTAATGTGAGGATGATATATGTCTGCCACGACTGAGTTATGTGATCCAACTTTGTACAGAATCAAACAACAAAATTAGTGTCAAAAAAGAGAACTGTCTGAATGAGAATTTCAGAATGACCTTATCCTCAACCTTATTCTCAACATGCCACAACTCTCTTACCTCTGACTTCCTCAAGTACTCTAAATTAAAGCAACAGTGCTAAAGGGAGAAGGGAGTTTTTGTGTGGTTTTTTTCACACTAGAAACACTTGTTTTCTTAATTTCTGTATGAACCATACATCCCAGAGTTGAGACTATTCTGACTAACTTGGAATACAATGAAGGTATTTCTTTGCTGATATAAAGTTGTTAATCAGCATGTATCTATGAGAGTAATGTCAAAGTTACACACGGTATTTAGCCAGGTCCTAACTCTTAGAAAACCACAGGAGAGTTCGTTCTCACATAAACTTTTATTTCTTCCCCTTTTTATTCCTTTTCAGTATTGTGGATTAAAAATATGTGTGAGAAGACAATAGCAGCCATCTCTATGATAGAATAATAATGGAGCAATGAGAAATTAAGATAGTGAATAATTGCTATCAGGACTGGCTGTGAGGGTTGCAAATGTAAAGGTAGATTTTGTGTAGCAAAGGGAGGGGAGTGATTGACTTTGCAGTCCAGGAGTGGATGTCTCTGGGACCATCAAGGGAGAAGAGTGGAGTGAGGGACCCTACCCAGAGAAACAGTGATGCCAGAGATGGAGGCAGAGACAATGACATAGAGAGATGGAGTGGCTGGGGACTCTAGACCCAGAGAGGGAGAGGGGCTGTGTGCTGATAACTAGGGGCAGGCTTTCAGGATATACCCTTTGGTTGGTTGATGATGCATGGAGGGGATTGTAACCATGGCAATTAAACTGTATACGATAGAATGAATGTAAAGCTAGTGTTCTCCCATGTACACTATCTCATAATTCACAATAAAACATCAAAAAAAAAAAAAAAAGTCAGTTTGAAGGCTTATTCTCATGTGGATGCAGCAGCTGACAAATGCAAATTGGCAGAGCAGACGACAGGTTCTTGACTCACAAGGCTGAAGAAATGGCCAAATCCGGTCAGGTGAGAGCCGAAGAAGGTTGAATTCCTAGGAAGCAGAGGTCAGCCAGAGCTGATCCAGAACAAGAAAGTGAAAGAACTTTGCCAAGCATTACCCTACTCTGCCAGTTCTTTCTCAATGCAACTATTGTTGTTGTTAGGTGCCATCGAGTCAGTACCGAGCCATAGCAACCTTATGCACAGCAGAACGAAACACTGCCGGATCCTGGGCCAACCTCACTACTGTTGCCACACTTGAGTCCATCGATGCTGCCACTTGGCCAATCCATCTCATTGGGGGTCTTCCTCTTTTTCTCTGACCCTCCACTTTATAAAACCAAAGACACAAAATATCTGAAAGCAAAGGGTATTCTAAGTGATTGACCAAGATTCATGTTGCCAGGATGACTTCTCCAGTCCTGTTCCAGGCATCTTTTATTAGGATTTTCTAGGACAGTAACTGGCATCTGACTGGTGTTTATTAGAATGATTCAGCACAAGAACTATTCTTCTGCTCATCCTCAGTTGGGAAGAGGGGCCACAATGATAGCATTTTGCCGATGTCTACTATTTCCTTTCTACTGCAATTATACTTACTAAAACTTACAGGATAATATTGAATGGGAATGGTGAAAAGGGCCATCTTTACATTATTCCAGACTTGCAGAGAGAAAGCATCTGTCTTCTTATATGTATAATGTTAACTGGAGTTTTTGGTCGATGTTCTTTATCAAGTTGGAGATGTCAAGAGGTCCCAAAGATCTCTCTCAAGCCCGATATTTTATAAGACTCGTATAGCTCAGAAAATCTGTTATATTCTTGTGTGATTTATTATGACTAAGGGATAATGATTAAAATAAGCGAAGAGAAAAAAAATAATAAACAAAGGGAAGACATTCATATGTCATGATTCAAGAAAGACCAGATGTAGTGCTTCCAGTTGTATTATCTTGGTACAGTGTGTAGACAGCACTTTTGTCCCCCAATAAATATGCATGACAACATGCATGAAATAGTGCCAACATGGGAAGCTCACCACAGTTTTGGCACCCAAAGTGTTAACGGGGATTGGTCACATAGACATGATTGACCACCCATGGGGCAAACCTTATTCCTCAGTCACTCTAGAGGTAAGATTGCTACTGTTCAGGTCAAAGCCTCCACCATGAATTATGTTGGTATCAGACTCTCTGGTGTGACACAAGAGCTACTAGGCAGAGAATCAAAGGGCATGTTATCTCCCAATAATCAAGGGCAAAGGGAAAAACCTTCTCTGAACAGGTTTAATTCATTAGTAATTACCCTCTATTCCTAGTTTGCTGAGAGCTTGTATAATCAATTCATATCATTGTCGTTGTTGTTAAATACTGTCGAGTCAATTTTGACCCATAGAGACCCTGTATAGGGTTTCCAAGGGGCAGCTGGTGAGCTTGAACCACCAACCTTGCAGTTCAAATGACTTTGCAGTCTGCCGCATTAACCCACAGCGCCACACCAGGACTCCATTATTGTTGTTAGGTGCCGCCAAATTGGTTCCAACTCATAACAACTTTATGCACAACAGAACAAAACACTGTCCAGTCCAGCACTATCCTAGCAATCGTTGTTAAGTTTGAGCTAATTGCTGCTACAACTGTGCCGATCTATCTTGTTGGGGGTCTTCCTCTTTGTCGCTGAGCGTCCACTTAACCAAGCATGAGATCTTGGAACTTGTTGCTTCTAACAATAGGTCCAAAGTACGAAAGATGAAGTCTCACTAATTTGACTTCTAAGGAGCATTCTGGTTATACTTCTTCCAATACATATTTGTTCGTTTTTTTAGCAGTCCATTGTACTTTTAATATTCTTCTCCAACACCATAATCCAAATGCATCACTTCTTTAATGTTCTTTATTAATTGTCTGATTTTCTCATGCATATGAGGCTATCAGAAATGCCATGGCTTGGGTCAGGTGCACCTTAGTCCCCAAACTGAAATATTTACTCTTGGACACTTTAAAGAAGTCTTGTGCAACAGATTTGCCTAATGCATTATGTTGTTTGATTTCCTGACTGCTGCTTCCATGAGTTTGGATAGTGTGTCCAAGCAAAATGAAGTTTTTGACAATGCCAAACTTTTCTCCATTTATCATGATATTATGTATTAGTTCAGTAGTGAGGTTGTTTGTTTTATTTACATTGAGGTGCAATTCATAGGTATGGTTTTGATCTTCATCAGTATTTTAAATCCTTTTTGCTTTCAGCAAGCAAGCTTGAATTATCTGCATATCACAGTTTGTTAGTGAGTCTTCCTCTAATCCTGATGTCATGTTCTACTTCACATAATCTAGTTTCTTGAATTATTTGCTCAACATACAGATTGACTAAGTACTGTGGAAGAATACAGCCCTGTAGCACACCTTTCCTGATTTTAAACCACTCAGTGTCCCCTTGCTCTCTTGTACTAACTATGTATAGGTTTCTCATGATCACACGTAAGTGTTCTGGAAAATTCATTCTCTTCAATGTTATTATTATCATGTCACGATCTACACAGTTGAAAGCCTTTGCAAAGTCAATAAAGCACAGGTAAACATCTTTCTGGTAATCTCTGCTTTCAGCCAAGATCCATCTGACATCAGCAATGATATCCAAATTTCCATGTCCATGTGTCTGAATCTTTCTTGAACCTTTGATAGTTCCCTGTCAATGCACTGTTGCAGCCATTTTTGAATTATCTTTAGTAAAATTGTACTGGCATGTGATATTAATTATATTTTCCAATAATTTCCATATTCCATTGGGTCACCTCTCTTTGGAAAGTGCACAAATATGGATCTCTTCCAATAAGTTGGTCAGGTAGCTGTCCTCCAAACGTTTTGGCATAGATGAGTGAGTGCCTCCAATGCTGCATCACTTTGTTGAAAAATTCATGTTGGATGTTTTAAAATGCTTCTCTAGCATCAACTGATATTAGATTATAATTGTTGGGTTTTAAATATATTTCACTGCTTCCCAAATCTGACTATTCACTTCAGCAAAATGATCACTATGTGTTCATGATTTCCAGCAAATGCAGCCCCTGATATACTTTCGAAAGAGCTTCAACTATTGTACCAGAAATTGTATGGTGTTAGCTTTAGGATTTTTGTTGTTTTTGTTCTTGTTTTTACTATTGTTTTCTGTTTGTTTATTTAGTTTTAAGGTCAAAATTAAGAATATATTCTGCTTCTAGTTTTCTTTTTCACTCTATCATAATATCGGGGTCCTGATGTGGTGCTGTAACTGTTAACTGCAAGGTCAGTGGTTCAAACCCACCAGTGGCTCCTTGTAAACTACATCTAGGTTGCTGTGAGTCAGAACTAACTCAGCTTAACAACAACAACACAATATTAAATCAACCTTGTATTAATATGAGCCCAAATTAGCCACAATATTTTAAAATATGTTCTTGTGTTTAATTTTCTCTGATTTACTATATGGTTGGTATTTATCCTATTTATATTAGAAAAAGAAGTGTGGGAAGATCAGCTTTATGTTCTGGTCTTCTCATCAGAGAATATTACATTTATACTCATCACTATCTGCACTGTAAGTTAAGAAGTGAACTTACTTTCACCCAGAGAAGTGAGAGAAAGAAAACATTTTGAAGATGAAAATATTAAGGAAATGGCAGAAATTTTTTTAATAACATTTTTATTCCATTTATACAACCCAGAAAAAATCATGCTCTTTAAAGTTGTCTTCCCTTACAGGACATTAGCTAAAGCAAAACATTTATACCAACTCTCCTCTTCCCTCTGGCACTTTAGTCATTAGTGTACTTTTACTCCCTACAGTTCTGGCCAATTTTTCACATATGAATGTTTTTCTTATACTGCAAGAATTATATAGAACATAAAATCTATACATTCACAGTATGTTACATAAGTGGTCCATGTTTATAATAAACCCAAAAGAAAAAATAAAGACTTATACTAGGCATGTATATTAAACACACTGACAAAACTTATCATCCAACATGAAATCATTGATGCATTTGAGTTATGGTATTGGTGTTGAGTAATGGTTACCATGGACTGACAGAAAAACAAACAAATAGATGTTGGAAGCACAGCCAGAATGCTGTGGTTTGTTCTGTTGTGCATAGAGTCACTAGGAGTCAGAGCTGACTCAACACCTAACAACAACAACAATTAGAATTGTCACAGTAAAATTGAATTAATGCTCAAGTATCAAGGATGTCCAACTTACCTATCTTAATTGATAACTATATAAATCAAACACTGTCTAATTTGTTTTTCCACTTTCTTACATCTGGATTATTTATTGTCCTTTACTTCAAGGATTAGTTTATAACCCCCCTAATCTGATTACAATAGTGCTGTTGCATAAGCTTGTCAAAGTGAGCTTCCCTTCCACCATTTTCAGAGATTTTTACTGTAAAGTCTGAATAGTTCAAATAAGCAAAATAATCTTAATAAGAAAATGGTTAGATGCTTGGCTACTAATCTAAAGTTTAAAGCTGGAAACCACCCACATGGTTATAGATAGAAAGGTTGGTGGTCTACTGCTGAAAAATCAGTTATAGAACACCCTGTGAATCGTGATTCTAGTCTGCATACATGAGATTTCCATGTTTAGGAATCAGTGTGGCTGCACCTGGTTACTAGTGAACACTAGAACAGTGCTCATTAAAGACAAACATGCACGTTGAAATTTTTATCTTTTTTTGATAAATGCAGCATCAATAGTTGGGCGAATAAACAATGATTAAGACACCAAATAAACCTCTTGTTAAATTTTCAAGACAGTATTTTCATATTAGTGGTGACATCGTATGGAGGTCACTGATTACCAAACCCTTCCATGGAAAAAAGTTCATTAATAATAGCGAGAATAGCAGGATATTAGATAGATAAATAGTTGACAGACAGATCGATAGATGATAGGCAGATAAAGATATTTATTTGATAGAGATATATCTAATGGTGGCGCTGCAGGTTCATGCACTGGACTGCAAAGTCAGTTTGAACCACAAGGTTGGTGTTCCAAATTTACCAATGGCTCTTCAGAAACCCCATTCAGGGTCACTATGAGTTGAAACCTACTTGATGGCTCTTAACAACAACAATATATTTAATAAATACCTTTATATATTGATCTATCTTTCATCTATCTATCTTTCATCTATCTATCATATAGTGACTCTATAGGGTAAGTACTACTCGAATTCAGTGTCAACTTGAACAACTATTTGCTCCTTGGAAACTGTATACAGGGTTGCTTTGAGTTGGACCGCGCTTGACGGCCCTTAACAAATAACACCATCTCTGGTGCATCAGCTCTTCAGTGCGAGTGGTGGATTGTGGTAAAGTGGTAGGATGCAATACTTAACAGACTTCAACTGTTGCCTCAGGATTTTCTAAAACTATGGCTTAGTTATTTTTATTGTTACGTATCGATGAGTCCGTTCTAACCCATAGCGACTCTGTATAGGGTTTTCTAGGAGCAACTGGTGAGCTTGAAACACCAACCTTGTGGTTCAAACTAACCTTACAATCCAGTATTGAGTGATTATTCCTCCTGTAAGCCAAGCATGGCCTTTAGCATCAAGAACTCTAAATACTTGGTGAGTCTCTACCCTACTATCCCAATGGCTTTTTTAACTAGCCGTGCCTTACCTATCCCTGCTTTTAGCCAGAGAGGCAATTCTTCAGCTACCTTGTCCCATTGTTTGGAGAAGTAAGCAATAGGTGTTGTTCAAGGCCAAGATTCTGGGTGAGCACTCTGAATGCAGCTCCCAGGTTTTCATGAAGATAGCTTAAAGAGTTATTCTAAATTTGGAAAGCACAGTGCTGGATTTTTTTTTTTTTTTTTTGGTGAAAAGACTTGTTAGTTTTTATTTGTTTTGTAACAGTCTAACACGTGACTTTTAGCTCTGACACAAGGATGTGGAAAACCCAGGGCCACAATCCCAATAATGCTTGTCTCCTTTACCAGAGATCTTCCCAGGAAGTTTGTTATAAATGTGTTTCCTGGTGGTACCTATATTAATTTCTATTTCACAGATAGAAAACTTTAAAGACAAAGGCAATGGATCCATCCACTTTTTCATAATGGGGACTTCTTCTAGAATTTTCTTTGTCTGCTGTGAACCACTTCTAAGGCAGTAAAAGTGAAGAGTCTCTTCCCCCAAGAAGAATTTTGAGTCTGTTGAAGGCCCCTGCACATTCAGAGTTTCATACTTATGGTGTCTTCTGTTCTCTATTTAGGGCTTCATGTAATGATTTTGTAATAAGACCAAAGTTACGGATCCAAATCTACAGAATCCTGCCATTCCCAGGAACGGTCGCAACTGTCTTTTAGTTGAGGAAACCCTTGGTCTAGCAATTACTTCTTTCCTGTCAGGGGCTAAAGCCCTAGTTCCCTGGGACAGCATGAAATCCAATTAATGGACTTTTGTTTAGAGATTTGGGTCTTTTGGAGAGACATTTGATATTCCAGGGTGTGAAGATGACATGGGAGTTTGACAGTGTTTACATTGGAAACTTCTTTAGAGGGGCAGACAAGGAGGTCATCAACATACGAACCATATTAAAGTGTGCTATTCTTTATTTCAAATTCTCTGAGTTGCCATCAAAGGATGTTACTGAATAAGGTGGGACTTACATGGAACGTTTAGGGTATTAAGTGCCAAGTGAGCTGAGAGGTGACCTTGGAGTCAGGGTCCCTCTATTCAAAGGCAAAAATGGCTGACTGTGGGAGTGCAAAGGGATGAAAAGAAGGCATCCTTTAAGTGGGGGACAGTAAAATGAGTGGAGTCTCCAGGAATTTGAGTGAGTAGCATATAGGGATTAAGAAACATTGGGTAAATTGAGAAAACAACTTCATTTACTGCTCTTGGGTCTTGAATAAACTAATAGGACCCATCAGGCTCTAATGCATGCAAGACAGGAGTATTGTAGGGGGAACACCATGTTCCAAGTTATCCAGTCAATAGGAGTCTGATTTGAGTACTCTCAAAACTTCTGGTTTTAATGGGCATTGATGTTATAGAGAAAGCTGGCTCCATGCTACAATGCAACTTCAACAGGATCTATCCCCAGAACCTGGTCTGGCTGTGAGATATCCAAAACACAGCAGAGGACCTCTGGTGATTTCGTGGCACTATTTTCTAGAAAGCAAAGTAAATAATATTTCTCTGTTCCAGACTCATGGACTTCAGGAGGTTTATTCCCCAGGGAGATAGGGACTCCTAATTTGAGAAGGAAATCCATCCCCATCTGGAGTGTTGGACACTCAGATATGTAAATGCAGAAAGCATTTATTTTGGAAATGGCATAACAATGGCTTAGTCAAGGGTTTCAACTAGGATTTGACTCCAACCTCCACAACCCTGCATTCAGTGGAGGGGTAGGGTCCAAGTAAGGCTGGCAAAATAGAGACAGTTCCTGCCATATCTAACATAAATAAAAGTCTTGCTTTTCACTTCAATAACATAATGGTTTTATAATAAGACCAAAGTTTGGGATCCAAATTCTACAGATTTCTTAATTCTTAAGCTTGGCAGTAGTGATAACGGTTGTCTTGTGGTCAGAAGCATAGCTGGTCTCTGGGTACCATCAGTGCAGCTCTTCCTCAACCAGAGGGGAATGGACTTGTGCCATCAAGGAGGTCAGGATTGTTGGTCAATGCTTTAGGCCATTCTGGACACTCCCAGCACAAGTGTCCCATCTGCCCACAATTATGGCATAAATTAGGATCAAGATTACCTGCTCCTAGAAGCCTCCAGCCATCCTTCAGTTGTTCTATTCTCTGTTGATAGAGCCAAATGGATTTTTCCAAGGTGGGAGAGGCACAAAGTTAATTGGTCATCCCAAGTTGAGAGTTAATAAATGAGCTTGCTCATCTCTCTCTTCCTCAGCTGTATCCAGGGTATTAAAAGCCTTGTTAGCCACCTACACTACTCAAAATAAAGATCCCAGTTCTGCCTTTCATAATTTTCTTCTGATATCTGGGTAGGTCTGAGTCAAAAAGTTTCATACTCAGGAGTGCCCTTCTTGTAGCCAAATCTAGGTCCACATTTGTATAGTTTTGGAATGCCTTAGTCAGCTTGCTCAAGAAGGTTGGGAGATCTTCCTCTATCCCCTGACTAATATCTTTAACCTTGTCATAACTAACTGCTGTAGACACACATCTCCTTATCTTTTCTAACAGGCAAGTAACCAGGTATTTGCTTTTGTCAAAATCCACATCATCATCATAATCCCATCCTGGGCCCAGTTCCAGTATGCAGCAGGTAGGTCCTGGCTGAAAAAAAAAATCATAGATAAAGCTATTCCTATGGGTTTCATAGGCTTATTCTCTGGACTTGGACCTAATCCTGTTCCTTTCATCAATAATACAGCAAAAGTTTAATAGGGTTAATTATTCCACATCCTGCTAGGAAAGGGAGAAGTTAAAGGACAGTTTTTGGAATTAATATCTAAATTTCTCAGGGTCTATTGATACATCCCTAGCTTCCCTTTGTACTGTCTCAAATCAGACATGGAAAAGGGTCCATGTACCCAAACCATCAGCTGACTTCCTCCCGACCCAGGTACTTCTCTCAGGGGATATAATCCTGTCCCTGGAGTATTCAGGGAAATATGGCTCTTTTGGGTCCCACTCTATATCCTGATCACAGACCCATTGGAGAGGGGTCAGTGTTGGAGGTAGGCTGGGAGGGAAGTGGTGGGAAATGAAAGGGCCAACAGACAGGGGGTTAGTCCCAGATTGACTTTCATAAGGAGTGAGGGTTGTGGGGCTGGTGACTGAGTTAGGCTCATGGGAGGGAAAGGATGAAGGGATCCTAGTAGTAGGTGACAGTGGGGATTGAGTAGTGGAGCATGAGCTGCTATGTCTGCTATAAGTCGGTCACCTAGGATGTCTTCAGGTTGCTTTAAAATTTCATAAATAAAAATAAATGCCTGGACAGGACTTTTTTCCCTTTGATTTCACAGTGAAAGTCATTTCTCCACTCTGGGCCATAAAGCATTGTACGTAGGGGATTTCTCCCCATTTTTTCTCCGTTTTGCAAAACAAGTTCAACTTCAGAAATAGTATTATAGAGAGGGAGCCATAGAGTGGCCATATTTCTTGGTCCCCAAGACTATAGTAGGGTCCCCAAGACTATAGTAGGGTCAATCTCTATAACGAACATTAGTTTCTTTTTCTTAATTTCCTCTTTTGGAAGGTCTCCCTCAGTGACTAGCAAATAGCCTAAGGGGGAGTCTTTTGGTATGCTTGACATTTGGCCCATGGTGGACTGGTCCTTCCACAAGCAGTGGCCAACAATTAGAGGACCACGGGTGGGTAGATGTAAGTCTCATAATCTCCAGAAAATAAATCCCTCAATCTGCCTGTGTCTCCGAAGTGCTAGTCTAAAAAGAAGTTGAACAATTTTCAAAATGCTATGATTTAGAAAAGCCAGGGAAGAAAACAGGTGACCTTACTTCACTGCAGCAAAGACACACCCAAAGAGTCAAACTCGTCTTTGTTATGTTGGCATTTGTGAGCACAGAAAACAAGTACCTCAAAAACAAGTAGGGTAAGTACATCCTTTCAAACTTTACCTGGAGGGAAAGGACCTGAGAACCAGAAAGGTTCCCACCTGACACAGAGAACAAGAGTTAAATAGCATCCCACAATGAGCTCCCAAAAGATCTTCACATAAAAGAGAAAATTAAGTTTTTGAAGTCTGCCTGTTTAATTCAGGAAAGAAGCAATTACTGGGGATCAGATGAGACAGGAAAAATGGAGAGGAAGACACAAACCAAAGCATGTTGGGGTTTTGTCAGGCCCAATCAATCCTCCCATCTATGGGAGTGGCAGGGATGGGATCAAAAAGGGTTGTTCAAGTCTACCCAAAGGCATCTGGTGATCTACTTCCCAAACATCTTCTTTTAACAACTTTATAGAGAACAGTTCTACTCTGACATACATGGGATCCACACTCCACAGCAACTGGAACTGGAAAAAATTTGTTCACTGTAATTAAGCAAATATCATCCGGACAATTATACTTAATGCAGTGAGCAATATAAAAACTATCTCATCTTTGCTTTCACAAAGCTTCCAATCTAACGTGAAAGGAAGAGTGACAAATCGGTAACACTTCTTATTAGTCCTTCCCCCATCCTTTAACAATGAAAGGAATGAGACTTATTCTATTTATTTCCCCAGATCCTAATGGATATCTTAATAAATATTTCTGGAATTCATTATAATGGAGTTTGTATTATTTTCTAGAACTGAGGTCCCTACAAAGTAAATTAATAACATTAACAATTCATCTTATCTATGGAGAACAGAAAAGAAACATTAACTGTAAGACAGAAATTATCAAATAAGCCAAGATTTGAAACAGATACAAGATGGTGAGGAGGCTTGAAGAAAATAAAAACAAGTTTTTAGAGAAATGAAATTATGGAAATAGAAGAGGATATCACTTATGATAGGTACACTCTGAACATTTGCTTACTAAATGTACAAATGAAAAAAGATCAAATAATCTGAGAATATCATTTATGGAGCTGGAACTGAAAGATTTAAGGAAGCAGAGCGGCGGTGTTGCTGCATGTTTTGAAAAAAGTATGATGTCCAAAAGAAAAAAGTTTCAATTGACATTTTAAATCCAAACAATTGCAGCAGCAACAGCCCTGCCTACCTTAGAAGGTACTGTGCAGTGGAGCTGGTTCTGACTTGCAGCAACCCTATACAGGATTTTCCATGGCTATAAAGCTTTTCAGGAGTAGAAAGCTTCATCTTTCTACTATCGAAAGTACAGTAAGTTGTGTACTCTATTTTCTTACATTTAGAACAATGCTTATATGTCCATCTGGAAACTTTATGATTCTTTATGTCATTAACTTGAATAATCTCTCTCAACCATGCTTCTAGGCAAGGTTAAAAAGAAGAAATTTAGCAAATGGTATGCTTTTATTTTACTATCATGCATATAAAGAAGACACATATGCCCATGATACACTTTCAACTTAACAGAGCAATCTCACAATATTTATGCTATTTAAAGAGAAACACAACTATGTTATTAAATAAAACTACTAAGTAAGACAATCAATCAGGCTGCAAAATTTTTGTAGGTTATTTTTCCATGATGATAATAACTTCCAAAGTCTTTAGTTTGACAAGATCAAAATTATTCAAGCTTTGTTTCTAAGGATACAGATTAACATAAATAAGAACAAGTTGAAAACTATTATGAATATTCATGTAAATGTCTAATATTGTACAGGAAAATAAGATTGATATTTTTCTAAATGTCTCCAAGCAAAAGAAATCCTGAATAACTCAATTTTTCCTGTAAGCATAAACAGAAGAGGTTAACAGAATATTAAATACTAGTGAAATAAAGGGAAGAGTATTACTTTTCAACATAAATAAAACTATATATATGTGTGTGTCTAAGGAGCTCTGGTAGCGTAGTGGTTATGAATTGGGCTGTGAACCTCAAGTTCCGCAGTTCGAAACCACCAGCTGTTCCATGGGAGAAAGATGAGGCTTTCTGCTCCAGTAAAGATTTACAGCCTCAGTAACCCAGTGCAGGGTCGCTATGAGTCAGAACTGACTCCAAGGCACTTAACAACAAATATATATATATCCAAAACAGCAATATATTTCATTAAAGAACATTTATCTTTAATGGAACATATTTAACACTTAAATTCACCTAACCCAGTCCTGAGAAAAGTATTTATTCTCCCATCACACCTTTCTCTCAGGCTCAATCAATCCAAACTTAATTCTAGGCCCAATTTTCTAGCTCGTTTTTGCCTGTGGTCTTTTGTTTTGTTTTCTCGGCTTAGGGCATCCGCAACAATTTCTTAAACCCTTGAAGTGTTGATAAAAAGTGAAAGAAGGGAGGGAGTTAGGAAGACAGCAGAGGCAGCAATAAGAGCTCTGGCATCTATTCTATAAACACCCTCTGTTTCTGGAAATAACAAGAGCCAAATTAAACTAAAAAGCCTTAAGAGAGATGAGAGAAAGTTTACTCTTCCTCTGAAAATCAAATTCAGGAATGAGGGAAGCAAACAAAAAGTGAGGTTGAAAAAGTCTGGTACTTGGAAAAGCATCATCCTTACTGTTGCCATTGAGGATGGCTCTAACCATTTGCCTATTCTGAGAGACTGGGGGGAAAAGGAGTGTCAGGAATGAAAAAAGCTTGTGTGTGCTGGCAGGAAAATTGGATCCATCACCAGTTCTGAAGATCCATTTTTACTGGTTACCAAACTGTTAGGTTGACGAAAGTCTGAAAGATGTTCTCCTCTCGGAGAGTCTGGTTGTCACAACTTGAGCAGCTAGCCAGAGGCAAGGACTCGCTGACTCCTGGACTGAGATTGCAACCCTTGGAGTCTGCAAGGTGTGGTGGCAGCGGTAGGGAAACATGGGTTCCGGCAGAGCCAAACCCGCTCTAGGTAACCACTTGCTGCCCTAAGCACTCTCCCCGCTTGGTGAGGACAAGGTGACCTTTGTCAAGCAAGCTGGGATCTATGAGATAGTCAAATAGCTGCTGGAAGAAAATGTTCCTAACATCTTGAAAGACATAAAGATAAGCATTCAGAAGCTGAATGAACCTCAGGCAGAAAATCCCCAAAAGAAAATCACCAAGACATCTCATAGTCAAACTCTCCTGAATCAAAGATAAAGAAAGAATCCTGACAGCAGCTAGGGAAAAAAGAAGTGTTACCACGAAGGAAAGCCAATAAAATTTAGCTCTGATTTCTCAATAGAAACCATGCAGGCAAGAAAGCAATGGGACAAAAAGATGAAGACAGCCTAAGTGTCCATCAATTGAAGAATGGATAAATAAACTGTGTTACATACACACAATGGAATACTATGCTACCTTAAAGAATAACAAGGAAGCTGCAAGCTACCACATAACATGGATGAACCTTGAGGACATTATGCTGAGTGAAACTAGTCAGTCACAAAAGATAAATACTAGATAGAACCATTATTGTAAAAGATTAAGAAAAAGAACCCACCCTAAATGGGTTGAAATATGTGTATATACATACTGGGATTTATTGGATGAGGTGAGGCAGGGAAGGAGGGGAAAATAGAGCACAGGGTAGGGAATAGACACAGGATAGCTTGTGTGCTGGCGGGAGAGGATACATAAGAAGGGGGAGTGGAATGGAAGAACAAGGTGGATGGGAAAACAGTTAGGTTGGTTTGCATGGGCTAAGTGGGACAGAGGTAAATGATGATGTATGCACAACCTTGGAACAACAGGGCTCCGGGGTACAGGAATTGAGTCATATTTTGAATGGATGAAAGAGGGGAATAATGTTAAAATGTTTGGCTGTCTTTTGAATCTTGGTTTCCCTTGCCTACCATTGTAAAATAGATACTTGAGGGGGAGAGAAAGGAATAGCCAGAAAAAACACAATAGAAAGCTTGTAAGCCCTTCTTCAGCCTATAACTAATTGGAATACCTTAAAGGGGGCTATAAGTTGCCCAGTGAAAGTGGCTTCCTGTGGAGCATTTGCACTGCATAAGACCAGAGGTGAAATCCTGAACCCCATCCAGAATCTTCTGAGTTGGGAAATTTCCACTTGAATGGACAAGTAGACCAGCCTGGAGCAGCTAGAACAGAAGCTACTTTGTGAAAGAAAGACCAGCAGGAAAAATAAAAAACAATAACAGCAGTCTGATTAACTACTACAAGAACAAGCAAGCTGTTCACCTAGGAGCCATCAAGGCAAGTGGTCAGGTCCCCTCAGAGCAAACCCCCTTCCAAGACTAAGACTCAAGGGGAATACACGAGGAGGCATGTGGTCTGGCTGGTGAATACACTGGTCACCAATAAGGGGAAGAGGGGGAAAAAGAGCAATGAAGTTGGGAGCTAAGTCTGACTACATTCAGTAGACTCCTGCGACCCTGGCTGGAGACCTGGTTGGCCAGCAGTATGGTAAGACCTGGGACTCCTGGGATCAGAGGCAGTGACATAGCCACAGAGGACTAGAGTGGAGAGTGAAGCCTCCAATTGATATGAAGTGAGGGGAGATGCACAAGAACACCTGTACTTTCAAATAGTGCCCATTTGACATGGCTTCAATGGCTGGATAATCAGAACTCAACTAGAAGAAGAAAGAAGAAAAAAAAAAAAAAAAAGAGAAACCTGCTACAATTTGATCAACTTTACCTATACTTATGGATGTAGTAGCTCAAAAAAAGGACCAAATCTTTACAGCGAGGATCACTCCCACCCCCTCGGTATACAGGGTTGACAGGGATGGGCAACTTAGACATTGGCTACTCAAAATGGGGGGGGGGGGGGCTACAAAGGCATGAAGTGACTGGCTTATAAGCTTTCAAAAAGGAGTCTAGTTTCAGACGGGGCAGGGGAAGGTAGAATCTTCACTGAGTGGTTTCCAATCTGTTGGGATGGACTAATAAAAGGAGATGGGGAGATGGGGATAAGACTCTTGTGGTGCAATAGTGAATAATTGCTATCAGGACTGACTGTGAGGGTCAGAAATGTAAAGGTAGATGTTTTGTAACAAAAGAAGGGGAGTGGTTGACTTTGCAGTCCAGGAGCAGAGGTCCTTGGGACCATCAAGGGAGAAGAGCAAAGTGCAGGAC